AAACCAGATAGCTCAACAGGAGGGGCTGGTCCTGCCCAGCACAAGAGCTTTGGCACCTCAAGGACATCCTCCGTCTGGTCCGAGGTAAGGATGGTGACCTTGACCTTCTGGCCATTGGAGAGCAGCACTTCCAGCACCACCTCCTCTGTGGGGATCTGCTGCGTCTCCTGGAGAGAAAAAAAACCCGGCGCGTCTGCCACCCACCAGCGTCGCGCCACTCAGACCACCCCAGAGCCTGCGGACCCAGCACTCGGCACTCACCCCATGCAGGCGCCCCAGCAGCCCCCTGCAGCCCACAGCTCTGCCCCTCACCTGCTGGGCCTTGCGCAGGAAGCTGTTGAAGGTCTCGCTGCCTCCCAGCGTCGCGTCCTGCCGCACTGGGGGTGGACGACGAGCAATGGGTCAGGCATTACATAAGGAGGGGCAGGGATCCACACCGGTGCCCACCCACCCTGCAGACCCTCAGAGCTTGCACTCAGGCTAAGCGTGTGCTGCATGTAGGGTGTGCACTGGGCAGTCCTGGACTGCCCGTGGGTCAGGGCACCAGCAGGTCCCCACCTCTGCCAGTGCAGGGAAGGAGAAGGGGCAGAGCAACAGCCCTAGTGGCACCACTTCGCACTGGCTGACATCCAGTGGACACGGCTAAAACCAGAGCAAGGCTGGGAGCATCAGGGAGGGCCACAGCAAACCGAGCAGTGAAGGAAGGAAAACACGGGAAGTACCCAGTGCCCTGAGCGACCGAGCCAAGGGCAGCCAGCCCTGAGCCGCAGCACAGGGCAGACCCACTTACCAGCCTGCATGTATTTCTCCAGCTGTTCCCGTCGTTGCTCTACCTCTGCCGGGGTGAGTGTGAAGATCTTCTTTGGGGGAAAGGCTGGGACCACGTTAGCGCCATACTCTTTCCTTAACTGGGAAGAGAGCAGAGTGCTGCAAGAGCCTCCAGGGAGATCATGGCTGCTCTGAACCCCCCACCCCAGCTGATTTCCAGGGCCCTGGCAAAGGGAGCAGAGAGTTCGCCGCTGTTCCTCATCCAAACGGGCAACCACCAGCTTGCGAGAACCCAGCCAGGACACCACAGAGCAGGAGAGGAGGCCTGCACCCAACTCCACAGAACAGAAAGCAGCACCCTGGCCAGCCCTGCAGGCAGTACTGGGCAGCAGGCATCTGCCCGCAGCCAAGGCAGCGCCCAACACTCCGGCTCCGCAGCAGCATACACCGCCTTCCCGCAGCGCCTGACAGCAGCACGTGGGGCCCGGCACCCTGCCCACCACCACACTGCCCAGCGGGAGC